ATAAAATCTTCCTAAAAAATATAGCCCAAATAATCTTTTACAAAAAATAAAATATAGCCCCATAATGAAGTAGGCCCATTCTTTTTCTTTCAGCTCTGAATGGACGATTGCATTAGGCAAAAATGTCCGTATTATTTCATCACGGAATTTTTTCTTTTGTGTGCCTCTCGGTGGAGAAAAGAGACAATGAAATTGTTTGCCCACTCGAATAACGAGGCCCGTTCATTTGAGCAGTCCTCGAAGAGAGCAGCGCGCGGCGTGGGTGTTGCGAATAAGGCAGGCGCAGCTCCTCGGCCGGCCCGCTCTGGTCCGCCGTTTTCTGTCTGCGAACTCCCGCTGGGTCGATTTCTGACGTCATTATTGTGCTCCAGGAAGGGTTGCGCTCGCCAAATCGGACGCGCCTGAGGACGCGGCCGGGGCTAGAAGGGTGGATGCACCCACTCGGCGGGTGGTGGCGACCGCAGTAATGGCTTTTTGATCGCACCGAGAGTGAGCAAGCGAGGCTTTTGGCTTCCTCATCCATTCTGCATGCGCTAATGCGAGCAGTGCTGAGAGCTGCACCCAAGGCAACACGCCGCGCTTCATTTACTGCAAACCCAGAAGCCCATTAGAGCTGAAAAATCACGCTGTTCCTGGTTTTTTTTTAATTTAATCGATATGGTGCCACGCTTCAATTAACTCAGTCTCTTGATATAATAAGTTGTTTGAAAATGATACAATTTTAATTTATTCCAATAAAGAGGCTAATGCAATTGATTCCAAAATATAACGCTTTTTAATTATAGTACTTTTAAATTACAAAGATAACAGATCATGACAAAGGATTACTAGAGATGAATAATTTGTTTTTCATATTTTAGTAGAATCCTGAAAGATTATTTATATCTGTTTGAATTATTGACTAATTCATAACCATTTTAATTTAATAATAAAAAGTAAAAATAAATAATATTATTACAAAAACACAATTAATTTTTTTTTTAATTAAATGTTAAAAATGTTATAGAAGATGTTGGAACTAAAAATTGTTAATTTTTTTATTACTTGAACTAATTTAAAGATGTTTTATTATTAAAAAAAAAAAAAAAAATAGATAAAAAAATTGCGATTTCGTATTGTAAACTTTCAATTTATTGGTCGAAAAACGAAATAATTTGAAATAGGCACTTCATTTAAAAAAGATAGGTTCTTCAAATGTCTTTTTCCGTTTTAATTTCTATATTTGTTTTAACATTGATTTTTTTAATAATGATGAAGTGATATAAGAAGAAGAAACTTTGAATTAACAGAACAACTTCCTTAAATTTTTATAGCAAAGAGTGTAAACTTGTATTGAAGCACAGAGCATATGTATCAATTAAGCAGCTCGACGTCTCTGCGAAACAAGAAACAGACCATTAACGCTCTCAAATCTCTCCAAAGCTCGTCACGAATTCTAGAGCTGACCTCGTAAAAACGGAACCAGTGAAATGACAAATCGAACGCAAGTGGCGGCGGCGGCACCCAAGCATGGCCAGAGCACATCCTCTTTTTGCCATTGTCAAGTCCTCTTGTTCTCGAATTACACAGACAATCCGATGTCTGAATTCAAGAAATTCTTCTGCTTTTATTGCGTCGTCGCCGGGCGAGCTGGAACGCCTGAGAGCTTTTTGGCTCAGTGTCAGTTGCACAAAAAACACAAAATCTATCTCTGAGAATAAATTTTCCCGCTCACTTCGCAACGGCCGCAATTTTCCGTCTTTTAATCAGCGGCGAAACGAAACCACCTGACTTCTTTTTGCTCTCCGGCAGAAATATATCTGATCGGTGATGAGAGCCAATCGAAAAATCGCCCTTTTCCATTTCGCTTGCGGAATATTGCGGTGGATTTTTCATCTCTTTGACGGACGAGAAAATAACCCGCCGGCGGACACGCTTCAATTTTTCCCAGTCCCTTCATTTTCCGTTTTTTTTTCTCTATATCTATTGACGAGAATCGTTGCACAAAATAAATATAAAAGAGATAAACGCGCCTCGGGACAGCGAGCGAATTTGCTTCATCGTTTTGGGAATTGAGGTCCTGCGTGACCGCCAATTTATCGCTTTGCTCGCCAGTTTCGCACTTTGTGCGTTAAAAGCCGACCCATTATGTCTGTCCAGGATAATTGAAAGAGCCCGTTTCGGAGGCGGCGTGGGCGTTGCAGATCTTTAATGGGCATCAGTGTTGGCGGAGGCCTGGTCTTTGAAAAGTTTCGCAATTTTAGCCAAAGGAATTAATGGAAACCGTCAAAGACTTAAAATTCGAGGACGTCGCTGAAAAGTTAAAAACCTTACCTTAATTTATGATATAATAAGAAAAAAATTAATTTAATTTACTTTTTATGTGCTATCCTCTTTTATTATCTTTATCACAAAATATTTTAAATATTGAATACTGCAATGGTATTTGATTGTTAATCTTACAAACACTATCAATCAAAGGCCGTCTCATGTAAACGATAATTTACAAAAATGATACTGTGCATTTTAAATTAGTAAAAAATTCAACCTTTTAACGCCTAAAAGCAAAAGATGCAACCTGCTTGACAGCAATGCTACTCTAGGCGCATAACTAGCAGGCACTTTGCTTTGCACAGGGCTTTTATATAATGGGTCTTTTTTCGACGTCCTTCTTTATCTTTCTCGCAAGCGGCGTTTAAGCAGCGAAAAGCTGATGGTGGGTCTTCTTGTGTAACGAACTTGCGTGGATGTTTGTTTGCGTTTGCGACGGAAGAAAAATGGGATACCTTGCTAATTGGATTAAATGCTTCCGAGTCGGCCTACAAAAGCTCTAGCTGACGAGCAACTCGGCAAAGCTCGTCATTTATTAATTATTAATTCCAAAGCTGATGAGTTTATGCAAGAGAAGGATTAATTGAAAACTTCTCTCTCGTCTCTATAGATGGCTTACAATTATACAAATAATGCAATTCACGGCTGCGGAAATAAATGGATTATTTGCCTTGCTTAATTCGTATAATTATTCTAAACTCAACATCATGAGCCCATAAACTACAGTTTTAATCATTTAAAAAATGCAGATTGATTTTAATTTTAATTTTTATAAATTCAAAGAAATTCACATCGTGACAAATCATCCTGATTTGTGAATTAGATTCGAAAAATCTGATGAGGAGAAAAGACAAATGGCCAAGAGAACAAATGACTCCCTAATTGCTGCGGGGGAAATCAATTACGAGATCGATTTACACAGCAAAAGAGGGAAGATAAGCCCTTTGATTGGTTCTCATCAATCTGCCAGCCCCTTCTGGCAAAAAAGCCCCGTCGGCAGGTTTCCACGAACTGATAAATTTGAAATTCAAATCAGCCGCCTCCCGGTCCAGAGTGTGTATTTCGCCAGCCAGGCGCATACTTTTCCATTAAAACATTTGTCGGCTGAATCGGCTTTTAATTAGTTTGTGTTTTATTTGCAACTTTTCTGACCCTCCAGCCTTTATATACACGAAGACGGCTTTTAATTTTGCTTTCTGTTCCGAATGTTGGGCTGAATTATGCATGAGAGCGCGGAGGGTAATTACTCTCGACGCATTTATTGGACCGCGGCTGGCAATGACATGATTTGAATCGGTGTGCGAATGCTCAGAAATACATAAATGTGTCAGTAACAGCCAGAGCTCTGCGTTGTTGAAAAAAGGTTGGGAATGAAAAGTTGCAGAGAGACGTTGCTTTTATATTGTAAAGGGGGAAAAATTTATCTCTGCAAACGCTCGAGACTTGAAAAAGTAATTTTTACTAAAGAACATTTGGAAATCCAGTTTGCTTCTGCGAAAACACTTTTCACGAAGAATGTAGAGAATAAAAATAAGTTTTCAATTCCATAATAGAGAAAATTTATTACAAAAGGCACTATATTGATCTTGCTTACTGAATCTTGTCTGGTTGTATATTGAAAAAGTTTTGTGTTATTGCAAGAAATTGCAAAACTTGTATCATAGCGTTAAACCTTATGATTGAATTCACGAATCAAAAAAGAAAATTAAAGTAACATAAGAAAAATATGAACATAAATTGTGAAGGAGTAATTGTTTTCAAATAAAAAACAAGGACAAAGCTCGTTTTCTAAGCCCAAAGCAAAAAATTCCATTTTTGTTTTCATTTGTCAGACAATTCTTAAAATTATCTTATTGTTAGAATATTAGTCATCGTCATCCTTGTCCTTGAAATGAATTAAAATTAGAAATAAGCGAATAAGCTAATTTATGAAAAGCGATTTCAGATTCATGCGATATGTTTAAAGAAAAAAGAAAAAGACAAAGTTAAGAATAGTACAGAGACCAAGGCATAAATAGATGATTCAGTATATTTGGTGCTTTGAAAAAAAGCGTCTTGGGGCACCAAAGTCAGTCAAAAGATGGTTTCCAGTTGTATATTATCATAAATCCTTCCCTTCAGAACTCAGGACTTTTTCTGGTGGTAAAGTTTTGTAATTATGTATAAAAATATTAAATAGAATTGATTTATGGTTTTAAATCATTTTCCTCTCTTGTGTATGATTTAAATTTTCAAAATTGATTTTTTTTAATTCATGTATGATCTATTTGGGCAGTAATTGCCCAAAGATAAATCAATAAAGACACTATGCAACTATATTTTGGATCATATTATAATTTTTTAATTGAAGCAAAAAAATTTAATACAAAATATATTTTTTTTATATTAAATTTCTTATTTAATTTATCTGAATTCTAGATTTGTGGTTAACTCTAATGTATAAATTCCTGATACATAGCGTATATCAAATATGTATGTATTATCCTTGTAAATGAAGAAGAGATAGTTTAATAACTAAAAAAAGATAAGAAAACAATAAAAATCGCCAGCTAATATTGGCAAAATTATTATAAAACCAATCATAAATCGGTAGTTCAATAACAATAATATTTACACCCAAAATATTATAAAGCTTAATCTACAATTTAATTAAACTTCATTACTTCATTATTAATTATTCCGATTTTCAGTTGAAGGCAAGCGAGTCGCAGTCGACAGTGACGCCGTCGGTGGACGAGCTGTCCGAAACGCCCAAGTCGCCCCTGCTGAGCTCGTCGCAGCGGGTGTCGACGTCAGGGCCCCCGAGCGTGGCGGCGCAGCCTCTGAGCCACCACCAAGCGAGCGCAAAGAGCGCCAACGGCAGCATCATCACCCTCACAATGCAGAATAATCACCTCATCGTAGAAACAGAGGCACGTATATATAAATTAATGTACTCCGTGCTCCGCTTACAACTTAATCTGGTTGCACAATTAAATTCGCGCGCCGCCGCCGGGAAACCATTATTTAGCTACAATGCTTATGCTTGATGGCAATTGCCAGCTGTCGCCGCGAAACTGTAAATTGAGGTGCTCACAGTGCGCGCTTATTGAATTTACGTGCCACCGACGAGTGCACAATTGAAACTCCTGCAGTGGTTGGTAATTCAGTCAGCACGTTGCATTATATTGTATGAAAAGTTGCTTTGCATATTATATGTGAAACTCAAAGCGTTTAATTGTAGTCAGTTTTAAAGAGCTAAATTTGATTTTTTTTTTAGCATTAATTGAAAGTTAGATAAAATTGGCAAAAAACGACAACCAAGAAGCTCATTACATAACAATTCCACACATTAATTAAGCCTAAAATCTATCAATTAATTGAGGACCAGGATTAAACCTTATAATCGCAATTTTCATGTATGAATTAATTTCGTTTCCTTATGATCCTTAAAATAAACCAAATTTCAAGTAACGCAATCATATTGAATGTTTTTGGAATCTACTGGTAGGTTTTTTTAGGCAAAACAATAATAGTATATCCCGGCCATTGTGTTAAAAACCCATCTAAACTTCACTGTTCAGCATCTACAAAATATGCATCATTCTACAAATAATATTTTAAAACACGAACATATATGATTTGAAACAAAACACTCCGTTTAAATAATAGATTATTAAACTTACAAAACAAATTTTTATTAAATAATTTTTCAAAATTTTAATATATTATTAAAAAAGTTTAAATACATACAAAATAATATTTTTATTTTTTTAATTTAATTGAATTTGTTCAGAATTGCATTTATTTCAACATATAACAATTCTCTAAAAAAATTTAGCAAATTTTAAATATAACTAATAATATAAATAATTTCACTAGTCACCTCTTACACTTCCATGTCATGGTTGAAGCCAACCTTCTCAAAAACTTCATCATATTATGTCTTCACGGTCTATTATATAATTTGACGATTACAGTTCAAACTAAGAATTGATGATACTAATTGATACTTTTCAATCCAACATGCTTAATGAAATAAAATTTAAAAATTAATCATCAATTTAGTAGATATTTAGTATAAAAATTATAAAATTATTCAGGCCAAACGGACAGAGTTATAAATTAATGCTGAGTATGATTTGCAGACAACTGGCGAGGACTTGGTGACGAGCAGCGACGCCGCGTCTGCGGACAGCGTGACGCTGGAGGTGGGCGGCGTGAGCGAGCTGGCGGCGCAAATCCACGCGCCGCCGTCGCCGCCGTGCTTCACGGGGCTGAGCGTCTCCTCGAGCAGCCTATCCGGGCCGCCGTCCTACTGCTACTCGACGCAGACCGCGTACGGCGTCACGCCGCTCTGCCAGCCCATCACGAAGCCCCTGCTCGAGGCCAACAATCGCCACGCGATCGACGACCCCAACCACATTTCGGCCAAGATTCTGCGCCGACGCCTGCACTCGGCCTACAGCCAGGTCTTGGACGACGCCGACTTCGCGCCCAACCACCACCGCACCGCCAGCCTGCCGCCCATCAAACTCACCAGGACCAACACGGTGGTGTCCGAGGCGCCGCCGGCCGAACCGCCGGCGGTGGCGCCGCCCCGCGGCGCCGGCAAGTTCAAGGCGCGGGCCTCGCTGCCCTGCATCAACGCGCCGATTCTGAGCAAAATTTTCGGCGACAAGCCGGCGTCGATCGCCGAGTGAGAGAACTCGGACGTTCATGCAAGCAGGGTCCTGTGATTTTTTATTTGTTCTAAAAAGTTCTTTCATTTTTTTTTTTTTGACAGAAGGTGTGGAAATTTCGGAGATCTTTTAAAAAAGTAAAATAAAACAATTTTCCAAAATTGAAATTGTCTTTACTGTCAGTTTTTCTCTAAAAAAATTATTTTAAAGCTCCAAATTAATTTTCAAAATTATAAATGAAAAAAGTAAAACATGATTTCTTTAAATCATTTTTGAACACATCATTCAATAGAAGAAAATAATGTATATTAATAATTTTTATGAATTTTAATTGTATTTTCCTTTATTTTTAATGTATATGTATACATAAATTTCTTGATAATTGCTTTAGTTAAACATCATATATCATATTATATCAAATATTCACACCTTCTAATAGTCAATTGCAAAATATGATTTCTTTCTAAGTTTCTGTTATCATTTGTAAGAAAAGGTTTGCAGTTGAGAACAGACTGATTAGTGTTGGTAAATTCAAGTTTAAGCAAAATCAGAGTGGTGGACTAAACTGATTTCAATCGGAACACTCAATCATCGCCAAACCGAATTGAATGTGCTGTGAAGAATCGATATATTTGCCATTATAAGAATATTATTTCCTTTCTTTAACAAGTCAATATTTAAATTTCGGCGCCTCAGTCTAACATTTTCAAAGGGTTACATAAATTTTTTCGATTATTCTGCAGCAAAATAGCAATAGGTCACTTAAGCTAAATGTCACACAAAATAACAGAGATCAAAATTTATTAATCAGCCGTTATATTAAAAATAACCGCATTCTCACGCATACTGTACATTAAATTCGTCTAGCTCCATGAAATGTCATGTAATCCAGTTGTCGTAAATAATTCTAAATGTGAGTAGATTGCAAAAAATATACTTGGAATCAATGTCTGAGCCACGCTAACAGAGATTTCAGCAATTGAAAAAAAGCCAATGCCCCAGAACTTCACCTATTTTGTCATGTTGATATCCAACTCTATATTTATTCTTGCGCTTCTAGTCAATCCACCGCAGACCCTCTGTTAGCATCCGTAAATAAATAAATACATCTCGTTTCCGAATTCCGAATGAAAGTGGAGAAAATGAATTTAAATAAAAAAGTGTTCCTGAATAAATGCGGTTACTAAGAAAGTGTCATTGGGTCCAAAGAAAATTGATGTTTCCATATCACCCTTATATGTGTGCTTGTGACGAATGCTCACAAAACAGACCTTTAACAGAAAATCAAAATTTATATCATCGCTGGTATGTAAATGTTCATTTGAAATTTTAACTGCAAGTGCTTCAAGTCCAAATATAGCCAAAAGCAGAAGGATCCGGTGATTTTGTTTAAAAAATTGTCAAAACTAGCAGATCATTGTGTTCAAACAAGAGATAAAAAATTAATAACTGCCCAAGGGTTTTGTGGAAAACAAATTTACACTAACTCACCCCAAAAATACATCAATTTTTGAAAATTTGTGTGCTTGTTGCAGAGACCTATTCAAACAATCTTCTCATAATGAACGCAGTTTTTAAAAAAAAATTTATTTATAATCTTCTATACTTTGTGCTACAATAGCAGAAAGTGTTCAGATATATATGTCTGGAAAACTATACTTTTGGAAAAAGGGTCAAATGTTTGCTAGTGCGCAATTGAATTAAAATGACAAACAGCCAGCAAATTTTGTGAGGCGTTCTTACGGGTTTTTTCATTGATATAAAGAATACACAATGCTTTCTTTGATCGAAAGAGCGTAGTAAAAAAGCGAGTTTTGTAAAAAATGAAGAGTTGACGAGAGCAACAATCTCTCACAACGTGTTGTAATATAAATGCATTTATGATGAAAATAAATACGCATGAAATTACTGTAGATTTTAGCACCACAAATAGTATACATTATGTATGAATAAAAGGCAATAAAGTAATAAGCAAATTTGCAGTGCTTTTGACTTTCCCCTTAAAAGGTATTGAAAAATGACAAAAAAGTGAAGATTGTCGCCGAGCGATGGCGCCATGGAAGTCGGCGCTACTCATAAAACTTTTTCGCAACCGGGCTTGCACGAAATCTGCCGGTGTTTTAGCGTATTACATTTTTAACAACTTTTGCAACTTTCCAATGATCTAGCAAAACGTTTTGACGAAGGAGATTAAAACAAAATACAAGTGATATCGAAGCGATAAGGACAACACGAAACGAGTATTACAGCTTTTTACACCTTCGTTGCAAATCAATCATGTGTACTACATGAAGCTAGTTGATAAAAAGGATAAAAAGCTAATGGGGATTTTCTGTTGCACTTTGAAACGTCAATTGCTAGAGATATAATTGAATTGAAACAGTGAAGTGTAATTGTTCTCAGCTCCAAGGACAGCGGTTTGATATCAACAAAAGTGAAATTTTTCCTTCAAAATTTTTATCAGTTGTTTTCATTATAATTATATGTTTCCATGCACTATAAATTTACAATTATTTGCATTTTTTGAAAACTAAAAATTAATTTTAATAATCTTGTTGCAATTTACAGTTATGGTCAAGTGCAATGAGAAGTTTAAATTTATCAGACAAGTGTGATATCTTAGTAATTAAATAGTATTTAATTACTAAGATATATCCTCCTGAAAATGCATCCCTAAATATAATAAAAAATAGAAATAAAGCAATAAAAAATAAATAATACTAACTTGAAAATGCATTAATTCCTAAAAAAATAATAATAAATAACAATAAAGCAATAATAATTGGAGGAGATTCAATAGACTTAGCTCTCCCGGGATAAAAGGTATCCCGGGATAAATACAAAGGGATAAAATTTAGACCACTGTCCAGGGTTAAATATTTTTTGTCCCGCCTTCAAATTTTTGTCCCCAAGTCATTGGGGGGTATCTTTTCTTAGCCCCCTCTACGGGATAAATATTTAACCCGCGCTAAAATCAAATGAGCTGGTAATTAAAAGATCGTCAACATGCTCGCAAACTTTTTAAATTTGCCAATTGCAATGAACAAAAAACTTTTTCAAATCAGAATTTTGTGAGGATCAAGAAAATGAGGGCAAAATTGAAATCCAAAGCTAACACAAAAATCTGTATGTAACTTAATTTAAAATTGCTTATTTATTTTGCTCAGAAATTTCTAAAGACCTCTTCATCAAAGCGAAATTATGCAAGGATTTTTTTCTTTTGAAATTTTTTGCACGTAAAATTTCTCAACTCTGAAAAACTAAAATTCTCAAGCTTATTTTTTTATTTGTAGATAAATTAAATCCGCTATTTTCTTTTAATTACACGTAACAAATAAAAAAAAAGGAAAAAATTAGTGAACGTGAAAAAGTAAAAAAAAAAAAAAAATGCTTTTCTTTCATCTTAAGTGTTTCCCATTTAATTTAATTTAAAGACCTTTTCGTCAGAGTTAATTTGAGCAAATAATCTTTTTCTTATGGCTATCAAATCAAGTATTGAACCAGTGGCTGGCTACCGGCTGCCGGCTGTCAAAAGTGCAACTGCAATGAACATGTGCAGCTTATATGAGGTGCTCATTTGAGGTACTCATATGAGCTGCTTATATGAGCACCTCAAATGAGCAAATGTGTCTAGCCAAAGGCAAGCCAAGGACTCCGGCCGGCATATAATAATGATAATAATGATTGTAGTAGAAGTTCACGATTGAGGGTTGATTCATGGTGGATTGAATTTAAATTCGGCTTTTCCTCGATGGGTTTTTGTGAGTTTTTATTGTTTAAGAAAAACAATATCCTGCTCTACATGTTTCGGCTGCGGGCTGCAGCCATAATTCATGAGCTGTGAAAAACATTTTGACAAAAATTAGTACAAAATTAAATATTTTTTAACAAAAATTTGACATTTACTTCAAAATATTTTTCAAAAACCATTATAAGTTTTTATAATAAGTTTTTATAATAATAATTATAATAATAAAATTATTATAAAAACTAATATGGTTTTTGAAAAATATTTTGAAGTAAATGTCAAATTTTTGTTAAAAATTATTGTTTGTGAAGAAATGTAAATTTAAATAATTTTTCACGAAAAATTTGTCAATTTAAAAGAAAAAAAATTTTTGAAAAAATATTTAATTTTGTACTAATTTTTGTCAAAATGTTTTTCACAGCTCATGAATTATGGCTGCAGCCCGCAGCCAAAACATGTAGAGCAGGATATTGTTTTTCTTAAATAAAAACTCACAAAAACCCATCGAGGAAAAGCCGAATTTAAATTCAATCCACCATGATAATAATGATCATTACGATCATAACAATCACAGCGATCATAACGATCATAGCGATCATAACGATCACAGGGTTCATAACGATCATAACAATCACAGCGATCATAACAATCATAGCGATCATAACGATCATAGCGATCATAACGATCAAAACGATCACTGCGATCATAACGATCATAACAATCACAGCGATTATTACGATCATAGCGATCATAGCGATCATAACAATCACAGGGTTCATAACGATCATAACAATCACAGCGATCATAACAATCACAGCGATCATTACGATCATAGCGATCATAACGATCACTGCGATCATAACGATCATAACAATCACAGCGATCATAACAATCATAGCGATCATAACGATCATAGCGATTATAACGATCACAGCGATCATAACGATCATAACAATCACAGCGATCATTACGATCATAACGATCACAGCGATCATTACGATCATAGCGATCATAACGATCACAGCGATCATAACAATCATAGCGATCATAACGATCATAACAATCACAGCGATCATAACGATCATAGCGATCATAACGATCACTGCGATCATAACGATCATAACAATCACAGCGATCATAACAATCATAGCGATCATAACGATCATAGCGATCATAACGATCACAGCGATCATAACGATCATAGCGATCATAGCGATCATAACGATCACAGCGATCATAACGATCATAGCGATCATAACGATCACTGCGATCATAACAATCATAACGATCATAACAATCATAACGATCATTACGATCACAGCGATCATTACGATCATAGCGATCATAACGATCACAGCGATCATTACGATCACAGCGATCATAACGATCATAACAATCACAGCGATCATAACAATCATAGCGATCATAACGATCATAACAATCACAGCGATCATAACGATCACAGCGATCATAACGATCACTGCGATCATAACGAGCATAACAATCACAGCGATCATAACAATCATAGCGATGATAACGATCATAGCGATCATAACGATCACAGCGATCATAACGATCATAGCGATCATAACGATCACTGCGATCATAACGATCACTGCGATCACAGCGATCATAGCGATCATAACGATCATAGCGATCATAACAATCACAGCGATCATAACAATCATAGCGATCATAACGTTCAGTGATCATAACGATCACAGCGATCATAACGATCACAGCGATCATTACGATCATAGCGATCATAACGATCATAGCGATCATAACGATCATAGCGATCATTGCGATCATAGTGATCATAACGATCATAGCGATCATAACGATCACAGCGATCATAACTATTATAACAATCACAGCGATTGTAACGATCATGACTATCATAACAATCACAGCGATCATAACGGTCATTGCGATCGTAGGGATCATAGCGATCATAACGACCTAAAATGAGCTGCTCATATGAGCACCTCGTCGTTTTTTAGTCGTTTTGTAGTCAACTTGGAGTCAACTTGGAGTCGTTTTCGACTCCCAAATGACACTAAACCATTACCAATTGACTCCCAATCAACTCCCCAAACGACTCCCATAATGCAATAAAACACGCAAAGCTCGTTCTCCCTTTATATTTATATACCACCTCGCTTAAACATCCCAATAATTTTACCATCAATAAGCCGTCAACTATTTCGACTATTGAACCAGCTGACCTTGCTGTCAATTTTGAAACAAAAAGGTCAGCCGCTAGTAATAAAAAAATAAAATCAAGTCAAAAATTTTCTTCACATTGTCTGAGTGTTCAATGCAGTTGCACTTCTGACAGCCGGCAGCCGTAGCCAGCCACTGGTTCAATACTTGATTTGATAGCCATAAGAAAAAGATTTATTTACTCAAATTAACTTTGACGAAAAGGTCTTTAAATATTTGGGAAACACTTAAGATGAAAGAAAAGCAAATTTTGTTTTTACATTTTCACGTTCACTAATTTTTTTCCTTTTTAATTTGTTACGTCAAAAATTTGTTAAAAAATTTCAAAAGAAAAAAATCCTTGCATAATTTCGCTTTGATGAAGAGGTCTTTAGAAATTTCTGAGCAAAATAAATAAGCAATTTTAAATTAAGTTACATACAGATTTTTGTGTTAGCTTTGGATTTCAATTTTGCCCTCATTTTCTTGATCCTCACAAAATTCTGATTTGAAAAAGTTTTTTGTTCATTGCAATTGGCAAATTTAAAAAGTTTGCGAGCATGTTGACGATCTTTTAATTACCAGCTCATTTGATTTTAGCGCGGGTTAAATATTTATCCCGTAGAGGGGGCTAAGAAAAGATACCCCCCAATGACTTGGGGACAAAAATTTGAAGGCGGGACAAAAAATATTTAACCCTGGACAGTGGTCTAAATTGTATCCCTTTGTATTTATCCCGGGATACCTTTTATCCCGGGAGAGCTAAGTCTATTGAATCTCCCCCATTAGTAATAAAAACTTTAAGTCCAAATAATCTTTAATATTATTTTACTGTTAACTAAATTTGCAGCTTTATTTTAAAATTTCTTTTAGAAATCTTTTGGTGTCTTAATTAAAGCATTAATTTTTTTTCATAAACAGTTTTTTTTAATATCCACCTTAAAATATTGGACTTGTAACTAGAACTGTGGTTTAATCTGACTAATTATAGAGCAATGAATATTTTAATTTTTCATTCACATATAATTATATAGTGAGCACAAAACAATGATTTATCATATCATCTCTACAAACTGACATTTCAATTTGAGCCAAACATAATCTGACTAGCGGCACAGCAACTAACTATACTGAACTGTATTGATAGCTCAGTCAGTGATAAAAACCGCTCTTGATATTATCACCGACAGCTCAAAATTGAAACGCAACAAATTAAAATGTGCTGTCGGTAATTTCGTTATCAAGCACATTTTGAATATTGACCTAGTCTTGTCTGATGTGAGAGTGGTAGGATTTTCTCTATGTACTTGTGCGAGATAAAAAATGCAATTAGACACGTACATTTGCACAGTACATGTGATGCCGAAAGATAAGCAGAGATAATTCGAAATTATTTGCAAGATGCAATACGTATCTCTGCAAGCAGACTTGCACACCTATTTTACGTTTGGTTTAGCTTTGCAGAAAAATAACCGATTTTT